CATCATATACACGCACTCCAAGTCGACACGTGTATGCGCAGGTGTGCGCACAGCATGCGCAGGGGTGCGCACACAGATATTAATCATATACACACACTCCCAAGTCGACACGTGCATGCGCAGGAATGCGCACACAGACATTCCTCATTACGTGACTCGTGCGACCCCCTGCTTCCCACCCACCCACCCAGTGCAATGCAATGTGGAGCAGCAAATCGATCCCATCAGATCAGTCGAGCCAACAACAACGAGCCAGTGGCACACAACCCTTTCCCATGACACCCGGCCACCCGGCAGCCAACCCCACCCACACACTCACAGGATGGACGCCAACTTATACTCAATGTACCGCTCCTTACCAGTGCTACCCAGTCTGGCGGGCAGGATGAACCGCCACACCTCACCCACACGCATGTCAGTGAACATCTCCTGGCCCCACTCAGAACATTCAGACACACGACACTCATACCCACGGGCCTCAGCTATCCTGTCTCGTCCGGCGAGGCCGTCACGCCACTCGATGTAGTCGCACTTGACGCGCTGGTCACGTGTCGGTCTGGGTTCACTGCCCGGCTGCACGATCTTGTACCGCACTCCTGACGGCAATAGCTTGAAGACATCACTGAGCAATGACAGACAAGACAGCGAGTGAAGACGCCAGTGCACTCTATGCTGCTGTTATCTTACGTGGGCTGCTGCCCGAGGCCACCGCTGAACGATCAACAATGCAGAGAATCAGCACATGAGTGTCGGCGCTTCCGCATCGTCCAAGACTCACCTTGTCTGATGTGCCTTGCTGGCTTTGGGGCTCTCGTCGGTGAGGCCGTACATAAACGCATTGGTGTCAAAGGCATGCTGCTCGGTGGGATTGGCCATCTTGAGCACGGCAGCCATGTCGGTGGCCGACGCGCCGAGCCGTTTGCGGCGATAGTGGTCGACCATACGGCTGATGTGGTCGGCCTGGACGTCCTCCACCGGACGAGACCACCTGCACACCACACGCAAAGCAGCGGCGAATCATCATGTGTATCTCCGTCTTCCGTCTGCGGCTCACATGTCGAATCGGTTGCGGAGCTTGTCGCTCATTTCGTCAATGGTCGACTGAGTGGTGGCTACTTTCTCTCCGCATACCTCCACCGAGCGAATCCATTCGTTGCCGTTCAGAGGTCGCAGAAATGGTGTGACTGCCTGGTCATCACACATAGACACAAGCCAGAGCATCGAACGTAACTGTACCTCTTGCCGCTTTCTGATGCTCACCTTGATTTCGTTGTTGAGATTTTCGCCTCGTCGTTTGGCGGCCGCCAACTCGGCCTCCAGCCGGACCTTCTCAGCAGCAAACGCCTTGACGAAAGAACCGACCGCCTCGATAAAGCCGTTCAGGTCCTCGGGAGCCCCGGTCAGTCGCATCGTCGGCTCAGTGACAATACTGGTTGTCCCTGCAATAGCCGAGTCGATTGGTGACAGCATTTTCTCGATCCAGTAATCATGAAGCCCTGCATCACAGAGAGAGAGAGATGGACACAAAGGAACAAGACAACCTCTCCCTCTCACTTTGCCCACTCACCAGTGAAGTTGCGTCTTCTTGCGTCTTCGAGAAGGTGGCTGATGGACGCCTGCGTGTTGGCCGTGCGGACAGTGGCGCTTCGGAGGGTCTCCGCGTCCAAGATGGCCTTGTGGATGACCTTGAAGGCGGCCGAATCCATATCGACGAACATGCGCTCTTTCTTGTCCTTGTCATTGACGATAATGAAACGGCCGTCCCAGCTCCCACCAAACAGAGTGGCCAGTAGGATGCCCTCGACACCCCCTCCTTGCGTGAGGCGCTGACGCTTCACACTCAGCTCGTAGCCGCCCACATTGAGCAGCAGCATGTCGTCAGACGAGGCCTTTGACGCATCCGAGGCGCCGTGCTTCTGCCGCTCTTGCTGGGCCTCATAATCAGCTTGTTGGATTTGTTTGTGAAGAGAGTCGATGGCGTCGCTGGCCTTGGTCGTGGGAACGTGGAGTTTGTCGAAAATCGAGATGACGCTGAACTTCTGGGCTGACAACTCGGCCTGCATCTTCGGTATGAGCCACCTGACGTCGCTGCATCACCCAGTGACACCCACGCACACACAGAAACGCGCCCGGAAGTTGATTCATTGGCAGATCTGCGTCCTTTTGTCGTCGTATAGCGCTCCTTAACCCACCTCGTGCTTTCCAAATTGGAAATTCCTTGCGAGCCGAGAAGACAAGCTCGCCGCAGGAACGTGAGGGGCATCACCTCTGCCAGTGCGTCATGTGAACCAGGTGAAAGAGCACACAAGAGAAAGCAAAAAGACGGAGGCGATCCATCGCTTCCCTTCCCTCTGCCGATACAGATGAACGACCGCGTTGTCGGCCTCTTCGACGGCCATTTCGTATATGAGGATGGCCACGGAGGCTACGAGATGGACGTCAAGGGCGAGCGGCGGGCCATCTTGCCCGCCTTCCACCCGCAGATCAAGCTGTGCTTTAGTGACCCCAAGAACAGCAGCAGCAGCAAGGCCAACCAGGAATGGTACGCTCCACCAGATGCAGAGAGAAGGGGGGAGCCGGTCAACTCTTAAGTGTATGTATGTATTGTGCTGTCAGTAGTGACACACCGAAGATACCTCGCGGAGCCAGGTGACCGCAGCACACACCTGTGGCACATACATCTGCATCTCCTTTTCCTCTCTCTGTGTGTGCCTTTGCATTTTGTCAGCGGTGAGTCGGTGCCCTACCGCTCGCGTGTGACGTCATCCTCACCTTCACCTGTGGCTCCACCACCACCACCAGCAATGGCGGCTCCACCACCACCACCACCAGCAATGGCGGCGATGAGACCGAAAGTGTCTATCGAGCTGACGGACCCCGGCGTGCAACACCAGGTCGTGCAGCAGGGCGCCGGCCGCCAGCCGGCCGCCGACGATCGAGTGACCTTCGACGTCACCATGTGGGAGGACAAAATCCACGGCAGCCAAAAGACGGTGGAGTGCCATGGCGTGACGTGTGCCGTGACCGACGAGCTGCTCTGTGACTGGCAGAGGGAGACGGTGCTGCTCATGTCTGCGGGGGAGGTGCGGCACCTCACTGTGCCGTCAGAGGTGCAGGAATGGGTGCTGCAGGACAAGCGGATGGGATATGGAGAAATGAGGCTGGTGGCCATCCATGCTGACAATTAGTGGGCTGTCGATCTGTGTAGAGGTGGGGGAGGGAGGGGGGATTGACGTATAGGGGAGCGGGGTGGGCGGGGGGTCTTCGTGCGGGTGGCCGATCGTCTTCACGTGGTGTGTGTGGATAGAAATGGTGCGTGTCTGTCATGGATGTTCACGTGGCTGTTTTATGCGTGTACAGAGGTGAATGGGACTCATCGCATCTTCTTTGCAATTCCAAATGCCTCTTCAGATGCGAAGATGCATTCATCGTCAGATTGCAATGCAATGGATCACATCAGAGTCTCACACGAACCCGCACATGAAACCTTCGTGTGCATCCATTTGTCGAGAGAGGATGGCAGAAAGAGCAAACTAGCCGAAGAGAGAGACGGGGATGACGGTGGGATACTAGAAATGATGGGACTGTGTAGCCTCTCCTGCAGATGCACCGTTAGGCGGGTCTATCTACAGGCACACGCACTCTACGCCCCACCGTCGGTATATCTGTCTGTCGTCTGTGTGTGATAGAGTCAGTCGTCCTCCTCCTCCTCGTCTCCCGTGCTGGCGTCCTCCATCTCCGCATCGCTCTCGTCGCTTTCCTCGTCGTCTGAGGGCTCCTCGTCTGTGAAGAGCTCTACCTTGAGTGTCTCATCGACGGCCTCCTCGAGGTCGGAGGACCTGCATGCGCAGGTGTGCGCACACAAACATTCATGATATACACGCACTCCAAGTCCACACGTGCACCTGCGCACAGAGAGATTCATCATATACACGCACTCCAAGTCCACACGTGCATGCGCAGGTGTGCGCACAGAGACATTCATCATATACACGCACTCCAAGTCCACACGCGCATGCGCAGGTGTGCGCACACAAACATTCATGATATACACGCACTCCAAGTCGACACGTGCATGCGCAGGGGTGCACACACACAGGTTCATTATGTACACACACACCAAGTCGACACGTGTGTGTGCGCAAACCCTGGTCATATACACATACTCCAAGTCGACACGTGCATGCGCACGTGTGCGCACACAGACATTCATTATACACACACATTCAAAGTCGACACGTGCATGCGCAGGTGTGCGCACAGAGACATTTATCATATACACGCACTCCAAGTCCACACGTGCATGCGCAGGTGTGCGCAGGTGTGCGCATACAGACATTCATCATATACACGCACTCCAAGTCGACACGTGCATGCGCACGTGTGCGGACACATCGGCAGGTTCTTCTCTTGGGTCCTCCCGGTAGATGAGGTGCTCCGCAACCATCCTTATCGACAGACCTACAACATGAATGACCCTGTCATTCGTCATGGAAAGCGTTTCTATCGCTCATTCCAGGCATTCATCAATCCAACACATTGAATTGACCAGAGTGGGGGAGGGACCGTCAAGCAAACGAGGGAGGTGATGCAATCTTATGCCGATCAGAACGACTCTCGCTGGAATTCATTGTCACTGATGACATCAGTGATGGAAGAATATGTTGGGTTTTGATAGCAGGGTTTGTGCTTAGCTTGCAGACATGTCTTTCTATTTCGTGCATCTTCGGTGAGCGTTGGCAGCTCTCGTGCGTGTCTTGCTTGGCGGGCTGGCCATGCCCATGATGGACTCGTGCGTTGCGTGCCTTGCGTAAAGGCTTGTACGGCAGAGATTGATCCTTCTGACCACGGTGTGTGTTCGGCACACAGCAACTTCAACATGGGCGCAGCAAGAAGGTTTCTCTGCTGAAGCAAGGCTACTGCTGCTTGTATAGACTGTCCTCTGTTGATTCTGCACTGAGGCTATGGCGGGCCGAGGCTTTGAGATCACCATCGACGACCAGCGTCTCACGGTTCCCGAGCTGGACGGCGACTCTCACGCGTATCTGAGCTGGACCTGGAAGGTCAGTCGGCTGCTCTCTTCCTATGCTGAGCGCGGAGTGATGCCCGAGCAATGGAGGGATGGTGAGGAGGCTGCCAACCTCACCAAGGCGACTCTGCAAGCGAATGCGACGGCAGCGAATGCGACTGACGAGGCAAAGAACAAATGGAAGTCCGCACAGGGACTGTGGCGTATCCTCGTGGGCGTCTGCAAAGGAAGAGCGGCTACTTACCTGCAGCAGATGGGCAACACAGAGGAGGGCAATGGCGCATACGCGTGGTGGCATCTTCGCAACTGCTACCTGCGCAACAAGAACCAGATGGGCACGATGCTGGCTCAGCAGCTCCGCTCATTCGCCTGGCAGACCCTCGAGCCTGAGACGGAGATCCTGCGCTTCGAGAGCCTGGTGAATCAGTATCGGGTGTGCATGGGCGAGGAGCTCTCACAGCTGGATCAGCAGGCCTACCTGACTGACTCCATCCCCACCACCGAGACGAGCCTCAGCATCCTGAAGGAGAACATCCTCAGCGAGAACTTGGGGCTGGACGCCATCAAGGACCGTCTGCGCA